TATCTCCTTGGCAGCATACAGCCCACAGGCCTCAGTTCACACAGGCATGCTAGAGGGTAGTCATCTTAAAGCAGCTTGCTCCTTGTTGAGTCATACCTGTGAATACTCTTAGGTAAGTGATAAGGTGACTATTTAAAGATGCTCTCTAGTAGGCAGTGGGGAGCTTGCAGCTGTACCCTGCCTTCAGTAGTCAAGAATGAAATACACACATTATTGCTGGCTTCATAGAATATGTGCCTATGGTGGCCTGGGTATCACTCCTCTCATGACCAAGGAGGGCTAACTGCAACTTCAACCTCTCAAACTTGGGAAGTCCTAGGGGAAAAACTAAAGCTTACAACATCTATAATAGCAGTTTAAAAGGAGTTTAAGACCAGACAACTCTTCCACAGTTCTGGTTATGCCCGTGAAAATAGGAAATTACAAGGTCCAAACATCTTAAATTCCACCTTGGCTAAAATGATATCTGAAATCAGAAATCTCAAGATTCAAGAACTAACTTTGAAAGAGTGGGCTAATGTCTGGTACCGTCATGATGAGAGCGCTCAAAGAATCTTGCCAGGAAATATTATGCCCTGGAATCCCAAGTCAGTTGTGACAGTTCACACCCAATCTACACTGCTGTTCTGAAGCCAGAATCTGGCTAGACATCTTCCTACACCATCCTAAGGGCTGAGGAATAAATACTCTTTATTTTGCTAGAAACCAGAACCCGTTTTCTCATTGTTTGGAGAATGTGTATTCTTTATTTTTAATTTGGATTTCACTAATCATCTCCAACATTTTGCTTCCCTGGCTAGACCTCACTGTCCTGAACCTTGGCTTTTTCTCCTATAGTCTCCAGGCCCCATGGCGTTATCTGCACCAGAATAGACAGCACCTCCCAGAAGGGCCCGGCTAGTTCTCTAACCCATGCAGTGACGGTCCTTACTTGACATGCCTCCCCCAGTTCTACTCACCTCAACTCCTACACTCTCTGCCTGATCTTCTTAACCCTGCCCCTCATACCTTTGTCCCTTCCCATGTCCCCTCACTCCACAGTAGAGCCACCATGGACCTGATTGCCCTTCTTCATGCATGCATCTGTGATGTCCAGCAGGCCTCTGGCCTGATGTGGTCATTGCCTCCATGGCAAGACTCAACAGGAAGTCATGTGTTCACCCACCGCTATCCTGCTGTCTTCTTTCTGGTTTCTCACAGGTTATGCTTGTCTGCCTTCCATAGGAGGCATTTGCTTCTGGTCTTTTGTTCCTATACACAGATGTGCACATTGGTAAATATCTGTGTCATTCAAAGGGCTTTGCAAGCCATGGCCTCGACGGCTGCTATATAAAAGACTGAATCAAGACTGCATCTATAGGCTTGTCCCAAACCCTAACTGCTATGAGACATACAGCCATCCCCAGATGTGTCTTTTTGTCATAGAAACCCAAAGAAAGTCAAACACACCTCTAACTGCAGAGGACAACACAGGTTATGCCCTGAGTCAGCCCCTAAGAATTTCCCCGATTCCCTACAAATGAAATGCTTGTTGCTGGGCTGAGTCACCACAAACCAATTACCCTCCTCATTTATTCAGGGAAGGAGGTGAGCTGAGCAGAATGGGGGCACCTGCCATTTCCAGCAGCCACTTCCACGGGGCTCTCACAAGGTGAGAAACATCCTCCTAAGAATGAAACCGTGTGAGGAAAATAGCCACCACCACTCAGGGAGACACAGCCAGTGTCAAGAGTTTATACGTGGTATAAATCAGCCTGACAGGGGTGCCAGGCACACACTCCTGAGAAAGCCCTTCTGTGTACACCTTCTGCTGATTAGCAGGGAGATGTCGGGCTGTGTGGGCAGAGAAAGGAGAAGGTCTACCCTTAGAATTCTTCTCAGCACAGCCCTGGACAAGCAGTTGCACACACATAGTAAAACCTCCTAATTGATGGTAAAACAAAGGCAACTCAGCAAAGGTTTCTGGGGTTGGACCCAACACGGCTTTTCCGCCTGTTGACAGTGGTCACTGGCATCTTGAGATCCCAGGGTTCCCTAGCAACCACTCACCATGTCTGTTCCCTACCAGCTGCCCCAAGGCTGCGGTCAGCACCCATGGCTCCCAGCGCTGACATTTTCATGCCGTCTGCTCTTGTTACACACCCCATCCTGTAGTGAGTGCCATGTTCTGCTAAATTACAACCTGAGACAAAATGTCATTGCCAGTTTTATAAGATCACGAGCAAGCCTGTATTCACCCTTAAATAAGAGCTACCTCTTCCAGGATATGGGTCATCTAGCAAAGGCTACAAAAGGAGGCCATTTATGATAGATATCTGAGGCTTGGAATTTTTTTTTAAAGAAGTCTAAAATATCTAACATAAAAATGGATCTAAGACCTCTCTAACCCACCCCTCTCTCTGTCAGATGTGTGCTAATGGGCTATAATGCTCCAAGAAACCGCTCGGGCTCCCGGCTGACAAGCAGGATAAAATGGCTTCTCACTGTCTCCACAACGTCCACCTAAGAGCTTCCCCGCTACACGCAAAAAAAATACTCCATGGGAAAATAATCACCATCAAAGCTGCTTCTGTGGCCTAAAATGTTTTAATAAAGAGGAGACTATCTGGATCCCTCCCTCCAAACCTTTCTTTCCTCACAACCATAGGCACCTGGCTCTCCTCTTCTAGACAGGAAGCCCACCACAGTTCCTGGTGTGACATAGCTAGTTCTGATCTCTGAGTGGCAGGAGGAAAGGATGTGTACCTACTCCTAGCTAAAGGACAGAAAGGTCAGAATCCCCGTGTATGCTGTCCCAACTGGGGAGCCTGAGGGGTGGAGACCACAGTGCTCTAGAGCAGTGGTCCTCAGCCTTCCTAAGGCTGTGCCCCGTTGGTACAGTTCCTCATGCTGTGGTGGCCTTCTCAACCATACAATTTCATCGCTACTTCATAACTGTAATTTCACTACTGTCATGCATCCTAATGTAAACCTCTGATATGCAACCCCTATGAAAGGGGTCATGACCTACAGGTTGAGAACCACTGCTCTAATGAAAGCCGCCACTGCCAGTCACTTGAGAAAGGGCTCAGCCTCTGACTTCCTTCTTACATCCCATAACCCAGATTAGCCCAATGAGGCCCTACCAGTGCCACATCATAACGTGGCCTCAGACTTTGTGAACAAGTATTTAAACTGTAGCTCTGGGTTGATCCAGTTTCCTGAGAGTGAAGGACATTTCCCTTCACCTTATTAGAAGCTTGCAGGGTCCCAGTGAGTCCTGGTCTATAGCTGAGCACACTTCAGGATGACTCCTTAAGGAAGTAGACTAGACAGGGTTCTCTAGAGAAACAACAGAAAGCAAATCTATCCCTCTCCCTCTCTCCCTTCATCCTCCTCCTTCCCCTCCCCTCTCCCCCTTCGCTCCACTGTGTGCATGCATGTGTGTGTGTGTAGAGAAATTTCACTCCAGAATTGACTCATTCGTACTCTGTAAGCCCCGAAGGCTGTAGACTCAAGGAAGAATTCTTGTCTTGGGTGTCGGGGTTATTCTTGAAAGGTGCTCAGCTGAGTGAATGAAGCCCACCCACCTTTCAGAGGGTAATCTGCCTAGCCCTCGCTTAAAGGATGCAGATTTAAGTATTAACTTCATCTTTTAAAAAGTACATGTGCAGAAACACCTAGCGTAGTGTTTGGCCAAATAGCTAGAGATCATGGCCTCGTTAGGTATATGTGCAATCTTTTGCCTACTTGTATGTATGCCACCTGCGTGCCTGGTGCCAAATGAAGTCAGAAGAGGGCATCAGATCCCCTGGAACTAGAATTAAAGATGGTGGTAAGCTACCATGTGGGTGCTGGGAATCAAACCAGGGTCTTCTGGAAGAGCAGTCAATGCTCTTAACCATTGATCCATCTCTCGGACCTATTTTTTTTTGTTTGTTGCTTGCTTGTTTTGCCTGTTTCAACCTTCCCTTCTCTTCCTAATACAAATGCCACCATATATGTTTGGATTTCCTAGAACAATTCTATGAAAAGCAAAGGTGTGTGGAGTGTGTGTGTGTGTGTGTGTGTGTGTGTGTGTGTGTAAAGAGGATGAAGAAAGGGGAGGGGGAAGAGGAGAGAGGGAAAAGGAGAGTATTGCTAGTGACATTCAAAGGGGTCTCCAGCATATGCCCGCTTATACTGTACCATAACAGCACTGCCCACCCTTTGGAATGTTTATATATATACATATACATATACATATACATACATACATACATACATATATATATATATATAGTTCCTGACGTCTCCAGCAAACCGAGGAATGGGCTGAACAGTTCCCTTTCACTGGGATCTCCATTACAGTTGAAGTCTAGATATAAGAACTTACAACAAGCAGGAGAGACCGCCACGCTCACCTCTGTAAACACATCAGCATGTGCAGTCAGTTTCCTCCATAGAAACCCTTTCCATGGAAAGGGAGAAAATGCATCCTAACGTCAACACAAAAATCAGATCTGGGACCAGCAGGGAAAGATCAAGAAGCCTGAATTGATAAGGGCGGCAAGAGACAAGAAGCCAGGGAGAAAGGGTGATCTCTCCTAGATAGCACCCAGATCTGGTGGGTAGCAATCCATGCCCTGCTCACCTCCCCATCCCTGGATCGGCCCAGCACTGGTCCTCCCTCCGCCCCCAACACCCCGTCTAAGTTCTATGTGAAGCAGAGAGCTGCCCAGACTTACTCTTGGTGCGGGGCGCCTGTCTTCGTCAGCAAAGTCAGCACAAAAAACATGAAAATCACAAAAACAGCGAGACCAACCCAGAATCCAATTACAATGGAATCTGTAAGACAGGAAAGATGAAATTAGTGTTATGCAGGATTTGAATCAGTTTAGAAATAGTTCAGGATTCTGAGCTTCCTGAAGATTTCAGAGTGCACAAGTTAGTCAACCATCACAATGGGGCATGAAGACAGGTCACAGGTTGTCCCAAGCATCAATCTTCTTTGCTGACTTGGATAGATTGTTTTCTTTCAGAGATATTTAAAATGAGTTGACTCTACTCCAGCTCATTCATGTTCATATTGATGCAATTCAGGTCTTGGCCACTTTCTGGAAAGGACATATAGCCTAGCCTCCTGACCAGTACAAAGGAGTGAATCCCTCCTACTTTCCCTGCCTTGACCCTTTTCTGCACAAGCTGCTTTATCCCAGCTCTGACGCTGAGGCTGGCCTACACTGGCAGTTGAAAGTGCCTCTCACCATAGAGCCTTCATCCGGCAACTGATGGAAACAGAAGCAAAGACCCACAGCGGAGCACTGGGCTGAGCTCCCAAAGTCCAGTTGAGGAGTGGGAGGAGTGAGAATATGAGCAAAGAGGTCAAGACCATGATGGGTTCACCCACGGAAACAGTCTACCTGAGCTAATGGGAGCTCACCAACTCCAACCAGAGAGGGAAGGAAACAGCATAGGTCCAAACTAGTCCCTGTGAATGTGGGTGACAGTTGCTTGGCTGGGCAGACTGCGGGGCCACTGGATTTTTCCCTACTGCTTCTACTGACTTTTGGGGAACCCATTCTCTTTGAATGAATACCTTGCTCAGCCTAGATATAGTGGGGAGGGCCTTGGGCCTTCCCCCAAAGCAATGTCTTACCCTCTCTGAGGAGTAGTAGATGGAGGTGGGGTGAGGGGGTAAGTGGAGGGGATGGGAGGAGGGGAGGGAGTGGGAACTGAGATTGGTATATAAAATGAAAAAGGATAGTTTGTTTTCTTTAAAAAAAAATAAAGTGCTTCTCAGAACACTTTACCCTGCAGCCAGGAAGCTATCCCGCAGGGCTGGATTTTATTACAATGGCCATCGTTGTCTCCTAATTTCTCCTACTTGAAATCCCGTTTGGACGAGGGGACACTATCCCTGTGTTTGTGTTAGCTCCTGGCTAAGCCTTTTTCACACCATCAATTGAACAGAAGTTTCCACCCCTCTGGCGCTGGTCAAAGTCTGCCCTGCAGGGTCCACCCTGCATAGTTAGCACTCTGTATGAAAATTAATGACTCATTTCTAGTGTCTTAATTCTAGGTGCTAAAAACCCAGCGATTTCTTTAGCCCTTGCCTTTTAATCGAATGGAAATAAGGCAGAAGGTAAAGAGGGTGCGGGAGGTATCTTCAGGATGGTTCAGCAGGGCAAAGCACTTGTGGAGGAATCCTGACACTGAACTTGTGTTCCAAACCCACAAAAGCTGCCACGAGAGAACCAAACCCACAGAGCAGTCCTCTACAGGAACACCAGGGCATGAGTGTGTGCCCACCCACACATCATACACACACACAATAAGTGAAAACACATAAAGCAAATCACCAAAAACATATGTACTCAAGTACAGCTGACTTGAAATTATAAATCTCAGTACACCTGGGCATGTGCTGTGATAAAATGGTGTATGGTTATCTTCAGGTCGACACATTGTATTTTAGCAACTGCTTCACAGAAAGAGCCAACTTTAAAACTGTAACAGGCTTTCTGTTGGGCCACCAACCAGCTCCCAAATCATGACATGGAGACTTGTTATTAGTAATGAATGCTAAGCCTTATCTTAGCTCTTGTTTTAATCTGTTTCTCTTTATCTATGTTTTTGCCTCAGGACTTTTTCTCTCTCATTCTGCACATCTTCCTTTCCTCTGTATCTGGCCCTGGCTTCTGGCCCCAGTGTCTCCCCCTCTTTCTCCTTCATTCCGTCTTCTCTCTCATTCCTCTAACCTAGATTTCCCCCCCTACTTATTCTCTCTGCCCCACCAGGCTTGCCTATCCCTCTCCGGCCTACCTATTGGCCATTCTGCTTTGTAATAGACCAACCAGGTGCCTTAGGCAGGCAAGGTGATAGAGCAACACATCTTTACATAATTAAACAAATGCAGCACAAACAAATGTAACACATCTTTACATAGTTAAAGTAATTTTCCATAATATTCCACAGCATAAACAAATGTAACACATCTTTGCCAAGCTAAAGTAATATTCCACAACAAACCCTCAAACTACATGCCAGTGTCATGTTTCAGTCCTAAAGTTAGCATGTAGTCCCACTGTGATGAGTGAAATTTCCAAATCTGTTTACTGAGAAGGTCTCTCCTGAGGAGAGTGAAGTAGGGCTCCCTGAGGGCCAAGGAAAGAAAGAAAATAGTCTCGTGGGCTGAGCAATGTCCTGAACTATACAAAACTTGACCATGTCCCTCCTGTAACCCCCTTGTTGTCTAATAAGCCTTCCCAAAGACCTCAAAGGAAGAGCCGAGTGACTGCCCCTGGGGTTTCTTCTCTATGACAATGAGTATGTGAGATACTAGTACGTCTTGGGGCACCCCTCTCTTCTACACTCAGGCCATCTTTAGACTCCCACTTTTAAGGATTGAAAATGGTCACTAAAATTATATGTTTGCATATATGACAGACAGAAAACAAAAGTCATATAAAAGGCCCCATTTTACTGTATTGGTTGCTCTGGGTTTTTGTTTGTTTGTCTGGCCCAGAATTGCTATGGTGATTAAAAGCTGCTTTCCCAGGGAAGCCTCAGTATCCAGTCGCTTTGTTCAGAGCCCACAGCTGCAGCTTCCATAGGGATCAGTGGACCGGTCCATAGCACACTTCCATTTTCCTAAGCAGGGAGTGGGCAGAGGAGAAGGGAAAGGATGCCGAGACTGACGTTACAAGCCAGGAGCTGAAGCTGCCACTGTTATCGGTAGCCACCCCACGGTACTGGGCATCCACCCCACAGTACCCAGTATCCCTAAGACCCTGGAGTGGCCACTGCTTCTGAGGCTACACCTTCACCAGTGGCCTCTCCTCCCCTCTCTTCAGGACTCAAACTGCCTCATGCTGCCAAGTGTGAGTTTCTCTCCATGACCCCTTCTTTCCTGGGGTTTCCACAGCACCTGCATCCATGGCCTCTCCTGGGCTCCTCAGCCCTTTTCCTTGATTCCTTCATGCCTTTAAAACCAATATCATGTGGGAGACTTACAGATTATCAAGTTCAGCTGCCAACTAGGAACTCAGCCTGGGGCCCTCTGGACCAGATTTTACCTCGACGAAGCCAGTTTCAATCACAGCTGATTTCTCAGCTCCAGCTCACCTTCATCCATTTCCCCAAGAGAACAAAGGTTCCGCTTCTCTGGTCCTAACTGAGATGTATCTCACAAAGAGCGCAGTAGAGTCTGTACTTCCCTCTGAAACCTCACAGTCCAGACTTGAGTCATCTGCGCTGTGAGCAGCGTTGCCTTCCCGGTTCTCACAAGAGCTCACTGAGCTCAGAGCACTCAGCCCAAAGCTCCAAATTCCTCCTCCATAGTCAGGAACAAAGCCGCAGTACTCCATTTCCCTGGCACCAACTGCTGTGCTAGCTTCCTCCCCGACTCCCCACCCCAGGATAAACACTGACCAAAACCACCTTTGGGGAAGGAAGGGCTTGTCTCACCTCACAGTCCAGCCAGAGGAGTCTAGGCAGGAATCCAAGGTCAAAACCTGGACAGAAACTGAGGCCAAAGCCACGGAGGAGAAACGTTCCTTACTGACTCTGACTTGCTCAACCAGCTTTCTTCTACAACTCAAGACCACCTGCAGGGGGTGGAGCCGCCCACAGTAACCTGGCCCCTCCCACATCAATCCCTAATCAAGAAAATGCCTTCAGGCTTGTACAAGGGCCAAATCTGAGGGCTGAGAGTCGTCTTCTCGGGTGACTCCAGTATGTGACAACTTAACAACACTAAGTTACACAGATGCCCACCTTCTGATGTTAGCTGTATCCTGGGGTTCAATCCCAGGACACCCCCCCCCCATTTCCTAATCACACCCCCTCACCAACCGCTTGGCCTTGAAAGGCATTTAAATGCCGACAACTCTCAGATTTATGCCTTCTTCATCATCTCCCCACACCCTTGTCTTCCTGGATGTCTGGTAAGTGTCTTGATTTTACGGGTGCAAAACTGAGCTCCAATGTTCCTCTCTGACACCGGTCTCTCCCTTACTTCCTCACCCCAGTTAATGGCAATTCCATTCTGCCAATTACTCTCTCTGGTCACAAAACTTCAAAGCAACCTTATCTGATCCCTTAAGCCACGTCAAGCATGACAAATCTAGAGAGACCCCGCATTTCCAAACGTCTGAAATGCATGCACTTCTTGCCAGCTTACTTTAGCCTGCACCTTGGCACATCAATGGCTGTGGTCCTTGCTTCTAAGCTCACTCACTTCAACCTCAGGCACAGGAACCCCAGTAGAACCTAAGGCAGAGGCTTTTCCTCTGTTTCAAAGCCTTATCTGGCTCCTTAGAGCAAAGCCAATAGTCTTAGCTGGATCTCTATGCTCCACCCCCACCCTGCCCTCTTCTCCTTGACACTTGGCTTCTGCCACTCTGTATGGAATTTTACTCCCCTGGCACTGGGATGGCCTCCTTTTTCCTTGCATGTTCCAGTTCGTTCCGGCCATGGAGCATTTTCTGGCCTGTTCTTCCCTCAGACACGGCTCAATCTCACAGTTCCTTCAGATCTCTCCCTCAGATCTCTCCCCTTCACCAAAGCCTTCCAAGGCAGGACAGAAGCCAAGCTGTGAGAGGAGGGGCGTTTGGATGTTCAGCTCACTGCTGTCTCTCCAGTGCATAACAGGATTCTGTTCATAACAGGTGCTCAGGGAATATGCTGCAATCACAAATGAATGATTTCCACACTGAGCAGCAACCATGCTCTTTGTAGGCTGAAGAAGGTCCTCTGAGGATGCACCTGCTCTTGCCAAACGCAGTCCACGTAAAGGGAGCTGACCATGACGGCCACTCTTGCCCACAATATACATGTCCTCTGGAAATGGTCTGTTGTCATTCTATTTGCCAGACCAGCTTTCTGTGTCACCCAGTAAAACAGCATGTCACTAAGGGTTACTGCTTCTTTTAAATGTTAGTCCAGGAGTCGGATAGATGGCCCAGCAGTTCAGAGTACATGCTGTCCCTGCAGAGGACCGGGTTTCGATTCCCAGCATCTATATGATGACTCACGATTGTCTGTAGCCCCAGTCCCAGACAACCTGGCGCCCTCTTCTGGGCTCTGCAGGCACTAGGCACACATGGTGTACAGACATACATGCAGACAAAACACTAATACATGTAAAATAAATAAAACTAATAAAATGGAAGAATGTACAGATGGTCATATTCCCATGGTGGACATTCCTGTGGATTTCCTGTATATCAAGGGGACAGGCACAGCTGTTTATGTTCCGTTCCCTCTCGGCCTCAACTATTGTCAGGTTCCTGTGCCAGAGCCCTTTCCTTTGGTCAGAGTTTTCCCATCAGCGCAGCGAATGCCTGAACATCTCTGTATTTTCATGATGTTAGTGTTTAAACAAAAGAATTATCATTAATAACATGCAATGTGCCACAGCTTTGCCTTGGTTTTTAAAGGAAATTCTTTTTTTTCAAACAATAATCATTTCTGTAACAAAAAAGAGATGCTCAAAGCAGAGCTGCATTGGTTGTCTCTGGAAACGTGCCAATAGAAATTAGGGCAGCAGGGCTACCTGTGGAGCCCCTTAGAACAAGGAAAAGAGACAGGACCAGGCGGGCATAGCGCTGATGGAAAGGCTCACATGACAGGGAACTTGGCACTCTGCCAGTCTTTCCGATTGCCACCAAAATTCACAACAGATAAGTGTCCTTTCCTAGAAGTTATCCTATTAAAACAACAGATTAAAGGACTAGCGATTTTAGGAGGGTGATTTCATACTCAGACCACAAGACCCTTATTCATATGATTAACGACTGCATGTTCTAAGAGGTTCATGCGCTTCCTCTTCATCCCCATAAATACTGAGCAGATGTCAACAGAGGAACAAGAAAAGCACTTCATTATTACTGCAAGTGTGAAAGACACATGGTTTAGCGAGTGGCTTTGCTTAAGGAAGCAAAGTAGAGATCCCTTTTTGCAGCAAAAGATGGAGTGGGTGCTGCTGGTGGGTATAAGGATCACTGCTGCCCACAGGGAAGGGAGGAAGAGAAGGGAGGGCAGATCACTAACCACGCCAATTCCCTGAAGGGCAACTGATGCCAACATCTCCACAGTATATGCGGGAGGCTGCTCTCGTCTGTCTCTGTGAACACCGCTCTTCAGGAATCCAGCAGTCCAATGGGATTTTAAAAATGTTTTTAAATATTGATTTATTTTAATTTTATGTGCTTTAGTGCTTAGCCTGTAAGTATGTGTGTGCCATCTTTGTACAGTGCTCATGAAGGCCAGAAGAGAGCACTGTATCCCTTCAAACTGGAGTTACAGGTGGTTGTGAGCAGCCCTGTGGGTGTTGGGAATAAAACCTGGGTCTGTCTGAAGAGCAGCCAGTGCTCTAAACTGCTGAGCCATCTCTTCATCATTCTAATAGGTTTGTAAATGACACTACTGTCTATTACAAAAGAGTCTTCATGCAATCATTCTAGATTCTATTTCTTTTTTTAAAAGCTTTATTATGTACACAACAGTCTGCCTGCACGTATGCCCATACGCCAGAAGAGGGCGCCAGATCTCATTACAGATGGTTGTGAGCCACCATGTGGTTGCTGGGAATTGAACTCAGGACCTCTGGAAGAGCAGCTGGTGTTCTTAACCAGTGAGCCATCTCTCCAGCCCCCTAGATTCTATTTCTATACACATTTTTGTTGTTGCTCTTCAAACACTGAGGCTCTGAGGCAGTAGTGTTTTGAATAATTAATGTATTCTTTTTAAAAGATTTTTCTAAGGCTAAAACACGGATCTATATTCTTCCACCAAAGGGGTGTTGTTTCAGGTTCCTTGAAAATCAGAATTATCAATGCCACCATATCATACAATTCCGGAACAATCAGCCTTTGTGGAAGGGGTACTTGGTATTTAGAGATAGAAGGCCATTCTGTAAGAAGATAGGATATTAAGGAAAGGCAGTCACAGGGATTCCACAGGTTAACAGAAACATATGACGGTGACCCCAGCGGGCAGCACAAGACTTACATTTATGAGCCTTCAGTCCTTCAAAGGAAACTGGTCCAATCTCATAGTACTCATACTCCCAGGTGTAGTCAGAATCAGAAGCTGACTGCAGGGATGTTCTGTTAGAAGCCAACCTCTGGGCAGACATCTCCACCCTGCGCACACGGAGAAAGGCAAGTGCAGAAGTCATCAGTCCATTCTCAGTTACCCCAATTGCTCTTGGAGGCACGCAAGAGGGTGGGGCCAAAAGTCTCTAGGTCTTAACCACTGGGTCAGCAGCTGTCTAGACCTCACACCATGTAGCCACTATTTCCTTTCATTTCTACTAGCCTAGAATATATATGAAGTCAGAGACAAAACTCGCTGTCTTTGCGAGTGTGTGAACTGTACCGAACGCCTGGCATGCAGTCAGTGTGAACTTCTGGGAGATCGAAGCGGGGAGGGAAAGGAGAGACTGTGTCAGCACCTCTGAGATTTTGCATCAGCCTCATCACCTAGACCTGTGTGTAGTAACATCAGTGTCAGGACCGAACTGCCAGCACATCTGTCTTGAGCATCTGTGGTGTAGCAATGCAGACATACATCCAGTGTGGACACACAGCAGAGACATGGACTACAGCAACTGCACAGGGCGGGAAGATCCTCAGTCGACGCCCACACCTCACCTTTGCATATTCCTAAAGTAGGCCATACTTCCAGGATTCCCCAAATACCTTTGTTGTTGTTGTTGTTTATTGGGATTATTTTAAATATCTCCTTTGGGAGATTGTTAGAATGTGTATCTGGGAAGAACACGGTCATTGCAGCTCATGTATGATTACTGTGAAGTGTCTCGTGCAAGTGAGACTGCCTGCTGGGGACAGAGTCACAGGGTGCATAGACCAGAACCCCACAGACAAATGGACACACAGAAGTCATTTCAGGTTATCTGGCTAAAACACCAATCCAAATCGAGGTTTCTTAAGCAATCTGCACCATTGCATGTCGGTCTATAAAAGGATTTTCTCAAACTTGCCTTCTTCTGCCTGCCAGGGGCTCAGAGTCACCCACAGCTAACATTAGGGTACAGCCACAGGGCTAGCCAAGCCAAATCATCACCACCATTCTGTCCCAGGGCACACATCTCTCCTTTCATACTCCATCCGCCCTGTAAGCTGGGACCCGGAGTATCCCATGCCACAATGTCCAAAGTGTAAGGCACTGGGGCCCACAAATGCCGGCTAGTGCTAGGAATTAAGTCACTCCCCTAAAGGCAGACAGGCAGAAACAGAGATGCCAACCCTTACGTGGGGAAGAAAGCTCGGTAAACTAAAAGAAAAGCTGAACTTTACCTAAGTTAAGCGTTCAATTACCCATCCCATGTCAGTTCAAAACCATTACATGTGCTGGTGAATCTTCTCCACTTGTCTGGATTTAGAATCACCATGGAAACACCACTCTGGGTATAGTGATGAAGATTTTTCAGACAGGCTTAACTGAGGAGGGAAAACCAATCCATGATGTAGGTGATGCCCGGCCATCGGTGGGGTCCCAGACTGAAAAAGAAGGAGACAGAGCCGAGCCCCAGCCTGCATCTGCCTCTGCTCCCTGACTCGCGCTCCCGCCACTGTGTCTGTCCCCCTTCGTCCCTTGCTCTTGTCCGGTGTTTTCCACACCGCCAAGAGAGGTAACTGATGCCGAGAGCTGTTGCTGCAGAGAGGGGGCCCTGCGTCACTACATCCTCTGGTTGCTTCTACCTCGTCTGCCCATTATAGCTTTGCGCCTTTCCGCTGATGACTCCAAAGGGGGACCAGACTTTCAGTGGGCCTTCCCCACTGTTTCCTGCCTCAGGAGCTGTGTGCTGCGCTGCCTGGCCCAGGCTGCAGCTAGCCAGCCCCACCGTTCCCAGTCGTCACCATGTGTGTTTACAAACAGACATTTCAAACTTCCCAAACTGCCTCCAACAATAACTTGGTTTTTTATAACATACTTTACATATTTTTTGTGCCTCACAACCGGCATTCTGTGTTTGGATTTTAATGTAACATTTTTATTCAAAAAATTCGTTTTCAGGAAATATGACCAACCCGCTTTTCTGCCTTTCCTCATAAGGCAATCTATATGATTCAAGGCTGATGAACACAGCTCATACAGCTCTTACTAAAAACCTAATGTGGAGGGAAAACCTTTTTTTTTATCAGGTTGGCAAATTAAGTTGTTAATGCTACTATGTCTCATGAGATTAACAAACAAAACAAACTGAAAAAAAATAGTAAGAAAACATATGTTCCAAGAATGTGACAAGGTGTTTTTTAAAGGGCTTCATGAACTATGACTCTACCCTAAGCTAAGGCTGGAGACACAGCCAGAGAGCCCTGACTGGCTCAGGCTCCAGCCAGCCGGACTCACACTCCCTAGTCCCCAAGCCAACAATGTATGCTTACTCAAAGATGTTTCAAACTTCCCATTTTTCCAAAGATCTGAGTCAGTCCCATGAGGAATGTGAAAGATGAAACAGAGCAGATGTGTTCAATGGTGGACAGCTGTCGTGATTGCTCACGGGAGCAACATTTACAAACGGTGACCTAAAGGATTGTTTCCAACCAAAATGACCTGGGAAACTCATAGACTGGTGATGTGGGAGTCCCCTCTGTATGCTGTGATTACCATTGGTGAATAGAGAAACTGCCTTGGTCTGTTGATAGGGCAGAAGGTAGATAGGCGAGGAAGACTAAACTGAATGCTGGAAGAAACTTTATCCAGTAAGCCGCAGCCATGTGGTGATACACAGATTACTAGAAATGGGTTAAATTAAGATGTAAGAGTTAGCCAATAAGAAGCTAGAGCTAATGGGCCAAGCAGTGTTTTAAATAATACAGTTTCTGTATGATTATTTTGGGGCTGAGCAGCAGGGAACCAACAAGCAGCCTCCTTCAACAGACTGGGATGTGTTTAAAACTGTTTAGGCTTTGTGCCCATGCTGTATCTAAATGTCAAAAAAAGGTTGCTGATTTTGCTGGGCAGTGGTGGCGCACGCCTTTAATCCCAGCACTCTGGAAGCAGAGGCAGGTGGATCTCTGTGAGTCCAAGGCCAGACTGGTCTACAAGAGCTAGCGCCAGGACAGGCTCTAAAACAGAAACCTTGTCTTGAAAATAAAAGTTATTGATTTTTATAAATACTGGCCTTCTGGCCCTAATATTTATAACATGTATTTTCTGTGTTTCCTACTGGGTAGAACCACATGTTAACTAGCCACTGAATCAACCACACTCTTTAAACTCCAAGTACACATTTCCTCCAGCCACCACCTTTACTTCTTTAAAATGCATTATTTTATTAATTATTTTCATTTCAAAAAGTCACGCATGAAGGTGTTACTTTAAATACATAGAACAAAACCAAAAGATTTAGACTGGATCATAGTGGCTAATAGATCCATACAACCCAGAAATTTCTTTCTTGAGTCTCTGGTAGTTATATCTCTCTCATGAACGCCTGCCTTCCGGATTATCCAACCTCATCGTCAGACAAGAAGTTAAATTTAATTTACTTTTTAAAAAGTGTTTATTTATTATGTAGCAGTTTTCATCCCTGCACTCCAGAAGAGGGCACCAGATCTCATTACAGATGGTTGTGAGCCACCATGTGGTTGCTGAGAATTGAGCTCAGGACCTCTGGAAGAGCAGCCAGTGGTCTTGACCTCTGAGTCATCGCTCCAGCCCTGTGAATACTTTTCTATTCTCCTAGCGATAGCCTCTCCTCCTGCTCTGCATGGTGATCCATCCAGACATCAGGCATGCAACTTAGACTGGTGAACACAGACACTGGACTCTAACCCAAAGATGGACAACCAAATGATCCTGGGATGAAACCTGGGGAGAGTCCAACCTAAGCTCCCATCTCTCTGTCCTTGTTCAGCTCAGAAAAACTCAGACTTGAGTCAGTCCCATAACCCCATCCCCTCAGGTCCTATCCAGTCATTTAATATAGCTAAACAAAAAAGCTGGAAATGTTAGATCATGGTTCATTCTATGACATCAGTCATTCTAGGAAACCAGATCTAGTAAAGAAATCAATGTGCCTTGCCCTTTCTGGGGAGAGGATGTGGGGTGGGGTGGAGGGAAGGTGGAGGGAATGGGAGGAAGTGAGGGAGTGGAAACTGGGATTGGTACATGTCAGGTTGGGAGCATAGGCCCCTGCCTCTTGCATCTATCCCAGCCCCCAGGCCTGGTCTGGACTCCAAATTCCAGCAGGCCAGGTCCTGATGCCTCCCTGGGGTGGGGTCAGAACCACTCCCCAGGGTATTTAAGTGATCCCCCCCCCAAAAAAATAGGAACACGTGGTCTCCCTTTCTTCCTGGGGGGGGGGAGAGGGTCGGCTCCAGTTTCCCCCTGGGGCTACCCGAGAGTACAGAACTCCCATTAAACCTGGATATTTCTTAATTCGGCTTGTTTTGATTTGGCTTCACTGGGAATTTTTGTGTCGGCAGGGAGCTCGCATTAGGAAATATTCCTAACAGTATGTAAAATGAAAAAAAGATAAACTTTTTTTAAAAATAAAATAAAAAAGAAATCTGGCACTGTCCATCCCCTGCTGGGAGCACTGAAGCCTACAGGTGTCAGCAGGAGAAAACAAACCTGAGGAGAACATTCATCCCCTGGAACCCTGGTCCCCTAATACACTGTAGCAACTACGGGAAGGTATAAACAGACACTTCTCCCCATCTCTGCAGTCCTTGGCCTTGAGTTAGGTCAGGTTCCTGATACCTTTAGGCCATGTATTCCCCTGTGAAATGTTACAAAGTGAGTCATCCTCTTAGTTCCCCAGGATGTTCCTCCCCGATGGCTCACTCTAAACGGGATGCCGTCCTAGAGACACAAGGGAAACAAGAACCTCTATTTTCTCAGACACTCGAATTGGAATGTGGCTACTAAAGCAGCTTTCTCTCACACACCCGCTGCTTCTGCCATCACCACTTTTTCCCATTTAACAAGGAAGATATAAAAATGTGCAGTTTGGTCGGGGAAGGCCAGGGGAGGCAGATAAAATGATGAGTGGACAGTGTGGGTGCATTATTATTAAGCATGCTGCTGCAACGAAGGAGAAGTCCGACAACACCCGGAGCTGGCAGGACATGGCAGCGGCATCCACATGATGGTTTGACAGGCATGCAAA